ATGAAGCCTATAAATAGACCCTTGGGAGCGCTGGTGATGGCGGTGTGTGCTTGTGTTTGTTTGTGTGGATTTTCCTATTTATGTGCCCATTTGTCTGCGGTGAAGAGGATGAGAGCAGTGCTGGGATGATGTGTGGGAATGGCAAGGAGGAGTGGCAAAAAATCTAAAATGATACTGAAATGATGGCAGGAAACATCCGCGGTCGACGCGGCAGAGACTTTCAGCTGCGCTCGGAGAATCTCTGGATGCTGGATGGCAGTGAAATTCATTATGCCACACGAATGGCTGAAGCCTGTATCATAATAAGGCATGTACTGAGCGTGTTGTCTTTCCTGAAGGACGAGGCTGCACTCTGATATTTTAACAGATGCACAGAAAATTAAATGTAGAGTAGGAATAATAGTAGTCCTGTCTCGAACATAGTCAGTGTTAATACTGGAGTGAGGTAAATAGCAGATCTGGCAACAAAACCTGATCCAGACAGTTCATGAATCCTGTCGCTCACAGTCAGCCTTGGTTTGTTACAGCAGTTATTATAATGTCATTTACCTGGAATATTTAAACATGACAGAATAAAGGCGGGGGGAGGGGGGAAGTGGTCAAGCATTCACCATATGGGTATGTATTAACAAATGGTCAGTACAAAATAGGCGTCACCATTTTAAACCTTGAAAAAGTCATTTATGAAACTACCAAAACTCCAAACATTTTGTAATGACAAAACAACCATCAAAGTTTAGTGAACAAAAGAATAGTGCTGTAGTTGTACATTAGATTTGATCTGGTCTTTTCAGGAAGAACATCTTTTCATTATATTAAGAATAACTGAGAGTTTTGTCAGATCTTATCATTTGAATCCCTGGATTATTGTAATCTTTCATCACATAGTGCTGGTTTAGCTGGTACATTTTGTTCAAGTGGAAATCTCCTTTCCATACTCTGGATTAGCTAAATCCCTAACTGTATCAGAGAAAAAGAGATACAAGCGATAGCCTTTCTGACGGACTATTCTTTGACATAAAACCCACTTTTGAACAAAATGTAACCCAAAAAAAATTTACTTACTGTCAATCTAACTAGCTTAGTATCAACCCAGGCAACAAATCTGTCTTAAAGGGGGATGACTCATATGTAAGTGAATTGTGTAGGCATGAGCTTTTTCAGTTACAATGTAGTTGTGCCCCCCTGTTACTGTGTTATTTACTTTCCATAAAATTTGAGAATTTGTATATTTTATCCATCCCTTTCATCTATACCGCCTTGTCATTACCGGGTCAGAGCAGAACTGGAGCTGATCCCCATTGGATGAGAGAGGAGATGCACCCTGGACAGGTCACCAGTCCATCACAGACACATACAGGACAAACAACCATGCTTGCAAACACACTTTTGAGGTCAATTTCGAGAAACCCATTAGTCTAAATGTCACGACTGCACTGGCAGAACATGCAGACTCCATGCAGAAAGACCCCAGGCTGGGCTTTCTTTCTGAAAGCTAACAACTGTGCCACAGTGCAGCCTCTGGTATCCTATAATTAAACAGAATACTTTAATAAATAACAACAGGCAAATGAGTAAGCAATTTCAAAGTCTAGCTTTTAGGATTTGCTCAGAGAGGGAAAAAGTCCAAAGGACATAGTTAAAGAAAGTAAGTCCTTTTAGTCAACTAGCTCAAATTTGAGATGCATATTATGCTTTGTGGGTTTAAAGTTTGTTTCAGCTACACAGAGTCTAAACATTTCCACTTCATCACTTTTACCTCATTACAAAGTTTGCATCATGCTGACTAATACACAGATGACTTGAGCTTCCTGAAGACCATTGAATGTCAAAAGGCCTTCTTCACCTTTATAGTCCATAAAACTACACAGTTGCAATATTTTATTAGCAATTTCCTGCATGTGAGGCAGTTTACATGCAGTAACTAACGAAGGTTCTGAACAATGGAGAGGTTTTATTACTAACACACTCCTTTATGGCAGAGTCTGCTAATTATATCTAGAGTTGTTCCAGATGCACAACTTCATCTGTGCTTTCAGTGCTGGATATGGTAATACAGTTAGCTCATTATGTGTACACCAGGACAAAGAACAAATGTCATCTTTAGTTCCAAATGAAGCTACTGGAATGATTAAATGTTCGTCTGATCACATTGCTAGAATCTGTATTCATCTATTTACCTTAAAACAGCATATGGCCAAGTCACTTTACCTGTAACAATAAGTTGTTTGTGGTCATTAAACTTTAGCTCAGTTCCTTATGTCTTCCACAGATTTGTCAGCCTCTGAAACTGACACAAACGTGTTTCTCTCTGCAGGAGGCAGTGTGATGGATTATTTGGGTGAGAAACCCAGCACTGCCTTGTAGCCTGGTTTATACAGTTCTGACATGGCATCTGTTGGAACTCTGCTTGGTTTTTCACTACCTCAGAGTGTGAGCTTCATAAAACTGGACCCAAAGACCATTGTGAGCGCTCTTGTCTCATGAGTTTCTTGGATCACCAGGTCTTTCATTGAGATTAACCAGCTATGGCTTCTCAGATAGCACTAGTAGGATGTGAACCTTCATCATTCAGCAGCCCTATACTTAAATAGTGCTCCACTATTCATATACTCTGCATCCTTCCAGGTGTGCCACCTTGAATTTGAAAAGCACAGAACATTCAGCCTCAAGCTGGTCCAAATGTTGGCCAGAACTTAGTTCATGTTGACTCCAGAGGGTTTATGTGTTAACCATGGTCATGTAGACTGAATGCTGTTTGTTGCAGAGGACGGTTTCTCACAGGCTGACTAATGGTGCATTCATGCCATCCCTGTTTAGTCCGCTTTTATCCAATTCTAGTTTGTTTGTCTGAAAAGTCGGGTTTGTTTGAGGAGGTGTGAATGTGTAATCCAGCTCTCATCCACCTATAAACCTAGGTCTAAGGTCTGTTGAAGTTAACTATTAGTTCACCTTAGTGTGAAACTTTCTTGGTTGTGGTCTGGATTGCTATTTTGGCTTCTGCATTCTTAAGCTTGTGGATAATTGACAATGCTGTAAGAAGTCTAAATCTGTTGGCCAAATTATCAGTAGAAAAACATGTCAGCTCCTATGGAGCCTCTAGCTTGTTTTCACCAGGTCAAACTTGGGTTAAACGCCTGTCTATGAACTAGTTTCTGCAGGAAGGATTACACCCATCAAGCAACACAAACCAGAAGTATCACATCAGTTAGACTGTGTGTATACCACAGCTATTACTGAGATGTAGTATACACCTTTGTTATTATCTTAGGCCATAAAGCTCAGAGCGCCAGTGATGAAGGATCCCATTTCCTTTTATGAGAAAACAAAAGAGCCAGAAGATCAATGGGGTTTTCTAACATTAGCCCTGTGCTGTTTAACTTACTGCTCACACAAAATGACTCCATCACCATATGTGTCAGACATATCAAAGCCTGTTATTCCATGCAAATTTCCGAGCAGCTTCTGTAGATTTGCTGCCCTTTAGAAACACAGTCGGACAGTGCATTGTTAGGAACACATCTGAGGGTTTGTGTTTGATGTGAAAGGCCAAACCGGCTGGCTAAATATAAAAGTTACAGTAGACGAACTGAACTACTATAGTTTGTGAACTACTGAAATTAGTCTTATGCCCACCAGACTCTTTGGTGTGCAATTGCATTTAAAAAAAATATTTTTTATTAGAATTCCCATCCAAGTTTCCGTCACATTCCTTTGTGATCGATTGGCTACACGTTGCATTCAACAGACTGTGTTCTCGTTTGTCCTCATGGAACACCAGACATGTCAGGAATCTCTTCAAATTATCTTAGGAGCCCTACTGATTATCGGGTCATTCTTAAGATTGTTGGAGGGTTGGAATAAGGGAAATAAAGATGTAAAGAAAAGCTGACACCTGAAGTAGGCATAAATCATTGAACTCTATCAGTCCAATATCTGAAAATGAAAAGAGGATGGTAGAACTGTGAACCTACAGAGACACAGCCATACACCAAATCCACACAAGGACAAGCACTAGCTCTACACTCTATAAATCAGATTTTTATAGGATAGGACTGAAAAAAGGCAATAAAATGTCCCGCTTTCATTTCAGCACCAATCCTATTCTGAAACAGGAAGCTAGTTAGAGTTGTTTGAAAGGTATATGGCACTATAAACATGAGTATCATGGAAGAAAAACAAAAAGTTACCTTTCCACTGGACACTGCTCCAAATGAGGTAGTTTAAATCAATGGATACTCGTGTTTGGTCCAGTCAAAGCCTAGATCTAAATACAATCACGTCTCGTCGCAAAAGCTCTCCATACAATATCACGGAGCTATACTGAGCTGTGACAAAAAATAATACAAATTTTAGTCTCTCTGTGTGTAAAACCAATAGAATCATACCCCAAAAGTCTTACACCAAAAGGTATTGACGTATTGACTGAACACAAATGGATGCCCAATTGTTCTGTTTTTATTTTTAATATATTTCATTTTACAACGTGTTTGTTTTCCTCCTTCTTCACAATTTTGCTCAAATTTGTCTTGACCTGTCATTTAAAACCCCCAATGTTGTGCTTTTAATGTGACAAATCCAATACAGCTCGAAACAGAAACAGTCAGAAACTTGGTAGCATTTTAAAAATCAAAACAAAACAAAAAGCTCCACTTTATGATTCAGCCAGACTTAATGCTGGTATTATGTTGTGATTGCACCGACTTTTAGCAGAATGTTCCAGCCAGCTGATTGCATCTCTTTCTATTAAAGTGTTGCCTGCAGAATAATGACTGTGTGCAGAAGTCAGGGGAATTCTTCCACACTGGGGGAGCAGAGGGAGCCACAGAGGTCTGCAGCAATGACTCAAAACCCACCAACTGTTGGTAGACATTTTGAACCACAGACCTGTGCTCCGCTCTCTGAATCATCGCTGTCATGTTTACACTCTGACTTGAAAGTGCTCTGAGATCTCGATGTTTAGATATTGGGTAGTTCTTTCTTTTTCTTTTTTTTTTTTCGTCCTCAGTTCTCGTCCCCTGCAGTTTTGAAAGTTTTGCTCTCTTGGAGATGTCTGTCTTCCCAGCGTGTGCTGTTAAAGCTCCTTTCATAACACAAAAAGCAAAGCTGAGAATCGCTGTTAGTCAAAGGCTGAAAAGGTGGGAGCCAGGCCGAAATGGGTGACTCACCATAGCTGCAGTTTTATAATGTGGGATACAGGAATAAGTTACAGAAATGCATATGTTTATGAGGAACGGCTGATGAGGACGTCAACGTACAATTTTAACAAAAAAGAAAACCTATTTGCTTACGATTTGAGCTAAATTCAATCTCTACAAGATCAAAACTGGTAAACCGTATAAGAACCAGGTGGAAATGATTTGCCATTTTTGTTCAACAGAAACTGCTAACTGCAATGTACCACATGTTTGGCAGTCTATCCAGCTTTTGTGATTCCATGATTGTGGAAATTAACGCAAAATCAACAGATAATTTGTTGAAATGTAAAATAAAAACAAATGGTTGTACGATTTCTCTGTGTCAAATGTGTTAAACACTCTTCAACAATGGCACAGCAAAAGCTATTTCTTAAGCTAGTGCTAGGCACTTGTGTTTGTTTAGGTTGTATTTACCCAAAATGCCCTGCACTGTGGTCTGCTTCCTGCTTTTGTAGCGGTCTCTGGTCTGCTCGGTGTTCACGCATGCATTCAAACTGCGCCAGAGTTCTCTTCAATAGAACTGAGACGTAGGTTTTTGGTTGGACCAGAGTTCACCTGTTTAGTCCACATCAGAGTTAGAATACGTTGACGTATTCACATCTTCTCAAACAAACCGGACTTTGAAAGCAAATGAACTGTAGTTTGAGTAAAGGCGGTCTGGAGAGAGCTTATGTGAATGCACCCAAAGTTTTTTCAGGTCTGTCATGTTTAATGCAGTCATTTTAAAAGCATAAACAACACCAAAACTTTTGAAAAGTAAAGTTATTGCCTTGAACACTTGGGGGGAAAAAACGGTTTCCATGGAAATGGTCTTGTCTTTTTCTGGTATTGCAATAAAAGTTAAACTTTGTCATTTAGATGTTGACATGACCAAACATCTCTACGCAGAGGTAATAAGAGATATAGCAGTTTTCTCTGTGATCCCATAATTTTCTAGATTCTTATTAAAAACCCTGTTAAATTTGACTCATATCTTGTTGTATTAAATCAACCGTCCATACTTCTAAAGATGAAATGTTTCTTTACCGTGAAGCATAGCTGCCACCCACAGAGCATGAATATTTATAGGATTACTCAGAAGCCATGGATGCTCATTAGCGGACCCTATAGGATGCTTGGCCTTCCTGAAGCGCCACTGGATCCTCCTGAGGCGTAATAACCTGCTTTCTCCAGGACAAGCCAGGTAATATCCTCCATCATTCAGCAGGTAAACATTCAGCAGCTCTCTTCCCTCCTCCCTTAAAGCCGAGCCACTGGTGTGTGCCTAATGAAACAGATGATCACAGACCATCACCGCCATGCAGAAAGTTTCCCAAGTCCTCTTTTCCCTTGACTTTCTTTGTGCATCCTCTCTATCCTCATGAGGCTTGAGAGGATACAAATTAAACCATTGATCTATGTAATCGATTGCTAGAGTGTTATTCATCACATCTGCACTGCAGCAACAACCTCATATTGTAAAATCATGAGTGTGTGTTTGTGTGTGGTTATGCCCCATGTGATTATTAATGCATTCAATGAGCTGCAAACTTGGTTTTTAGCTTAGAAGAGGATAGATGACAGATGAAGACACTGTAACAGAGAGATTTGTTTGTGTTGCACAAAAGATCCAAAAACCTTTTTAATCAAGAAAAGATACAAAAAGAGAAGGGAGGTTTAAAGTTTACTGGCAGCTTGTAAAGTGGGAGTCACTACAGGGTTAAAAATATCCACACAGAAACATAAAATGTGCTAAAACTAGTAGAAACTGTCAGATGTACAAGTCAAGAAAAATTAATTGCGAGGGAATAATAAAAATATAATAAAACAGACGACATGAACACTGATCATAAACACAAACATAAACAATCAAGATTTTGTTGCTGATTTCTGGGCAACATTTTTTTTCTTAACTGATATGTCCAATCAGATTTTGAGAGATTTGGGTGTTAAAGAACTATAAATAATATATTTGTCTACTTTCTGCATGAATGAAAATGTTAGCAGTCCTGACATTTCTTTATGTTAACATGAATTAAGTATCAATAAATAAAAGTCTCTGGAAATGTACAAAATGTACCTTTTTTTATTTTTACAAGATGCATTCAACGTAGCTTCGAGCTTCAACAACTTAATTTTTGATTAAAGAATAAATTTTACTGTTATGGGAAAGTTTGGTAGATATATTGTAACATTACAAAAGCCTGTAGTGGAGAGAGAGAAAATTGTGAGCTGATTTTTTTTTAAACTATTTGCTTTGTGCATGAGCTGTTGGGGCACTAAGCGCAGTTAGCATGATTATCTCCAGCAGTCAATGGGCCAGAAGCGGGGTCAGTCATCCAGCAATGGGGCAATACAGAGATGGACAGGACAAACAACCACGCGCACACACACACATGCACACACACTAAAGGATCAATTAACCTAACAGTCATATTTTTGGCTTGTGGGAGGAAGCCGGAGTACCCAGAGAGAACCTAAACATGCACAGGGAGAACATGCAAGCTCCATTCAGAAAGACCCCGGGCCGGGAGTCAAACCCAGGACCTTCTTTCTGCGTCACTGTGCAGCCTCCCTTTTAACATATTTTCATAAATACCTCCAATTAGAGAATCACCCACAATGAAATATTGTCTGTCTGCCACATAATAATTAGGTTTATTTGTTCATAGATCCTGAAAAAAGATTAAATTCTTAGTTTCTAAATGGCTGATTATCAATTAGGACCAGTGAAACTGGACGACATTGGTCAAACATTTATTTAAGATTTAGTGATGCTGCTTGCTGTTATTGATGCTGGATAAGAAAAAAATTGCCAGATAAAGAAAGTGGAAGACATGCAGCAAAGGTCTTAATATCTCTACATCAAGCCCCAGACAGCTGCATTGAGGACTAATAGCCTGTCTATATAGGATATCCACTCTAGTGACACGCCACCATCTTTGTGCATTTTGGTAATAGGTGAAGAAATATTTTATTGATCAAAGTCTTCATTGATTTTCATGTGGTTGTTCACTGAGTGGTAGATTTATCAAGAATCTGGTTACCAGAAAACTAGCAGAACTCGCTAACTTATTAAGGCTCGACTATTTCTACTGCACATGCTCCTGTGCCATCCTCGGTCCCCCGGGTGCAGCCTTTTGAATATTGATCAGTCTCTTTCTTCTTTAAGTTATTCACATGGAATGTGCATCTCAGCAGAAAGCAGCAGCTTCAGGCTGCTGCCTTTGAATGCATCATCACTGAACAAAAAGAGGTCAAAGGAATAAAAAAAAAACTCTTTCACAGTGTATAGATCTTACTGCTGACTTCTTGGTCTCTCCCATACAGGAGATGACTTCTTAGTGTTTAACCTCTGACGACGATCCAATGATTTTATCCTTCCATACAGAACTGATAAATTCTCTTCACTTCATTGGCTTCCAGTTAGTTTTACTTATTGATTTGTGATTTTTTTGCATTGAGAACATACATTTTTATCTCTGCAGCAGTCTGACTGACCTCTGACCTGCTGCTAGAATTCTTGTTTACTTACCCATCAGCCTGTTTTTGGCAGATATTAAAAATTATTTGACTTTCACTCTTATTACTGACCAAATGACAGTTGACACGTAAAAAACAGCCTATATCTTTCTACATCAACCTGATGAAGATGGTTTCCATCCTTGCTTGTGCGTTTTGGAGCAGATTTATCATCCAGCATGTCAGTAAGCAGATGCAGATCCCCTGGACCGTACAGGAACATCAGGGTACGCAGCGCGAAGGCTGACGCAGTCTAGTCAGGGATGTAGAAACACGGAAGAAAAATCCCTTCTGACAGTGATTAACCTTGTTTGCAACACCTCGGATATAATCCAAACACTTCTCTTCACTCCGCAAACACACCTCCTGATGTTCAACACAGAGTTCAGAAATGAGCTAGTCTGAGTTCTGGTGGCTTAGTGACAACGGTGGACTTCGTAGATGAGATAATGCAAAATTTCATTCTCATAATGTGACTGATAGTTCAGGATGACTTTGATGGGATTTTGCTTTATATATAAATACATATAAACACAATTGAATTAGGATGTATTTAAATGAAGCCAGACCTGTAAGGCTGATGCCTTATTAGTTATTTGCCATGGATGCTAGGCTAGGTTAAACCTTTCAGCATTGATTCAGATGCGAGGTAAGTGAATAAATCTTGAAGAACATCATGATTTGGGACATATTGTTGGCCATCCATCCATCCATCCATCCATCCATCCATCCATCCATCCATCCATCCATCCATCCATCCATCCATCCATCCATCCCTCCATCCCTCCCTCCCTCAAAGATCAGAGATGTAATCTTGAGGCCATTATCTTCTACTCAATTCCTCTCGATTCTCCCTTCAGTTCTCCGTTTGGGATTTATCGCATTGATCTAGATTTTTGTAGGATGCATTTCAAGCGGGTCAATTGTCATTGAGTTGTGAACCACGGCGATTTTCCATGCTGTTTCAGAACTGTAGTCTGCTTTTGGTTGTAGCTTGGCAATGGCAGCAGAGGAAGCAAACAAAGTCATTCGGTCAGTGTTTGTCATGCTTCCACAGCTTGCAGCTTTCACTAACAGACAACTTGTTCAATTTGACACTTCGCTCTTTGCAGTGGAACATGGTTGTTTACAGCACATGCAGTTTCCTGTAAGCTTCATAGCGTAGTGTCCTTCACGGTCAATCCGGCACAGCACACACATCATGGCCAAGCATCTGTGGCTGGATTCTACGTCTCCAGTTTCTCAACAGCCAAAGGTCCAGGCTCTCTGTATGAAGCAATACATAGAACGAGGGGCTGCTTCTTACCAGCTTATACCTCCATGTTTCTCCATGTGATGGTGTATTATGGATGCACCATGGTTCACAAACAAATCATGGCAGTGGCATAGTTGTTGATGGAGAACAAGTTTACACTTTTGTCTGAGGTTATGTTGTCGTTAAGGCAAACTAGCGCAGCCCTGACCTCGGTGTAAATCAACAGGAAGCATGTTTGTCAACTGAAGGGACGCAGTGCAGCACACAGTAGGTGTTAATCACTGTCAGGAGGTTTTGTCTGTCTGCTTCTGCATCCCTGACTGGGCTGCGTCAGCCTTCACACTGCGTACGCCGTTGTCCCTGTACAGTCCAGGGGATCTGCTTCTGCTTACTGACATGCTGGATGATGAATCTGCTCTGAAACGCAGAAGCAGGGGTGGAAACCGATGTGGAAAGAAACAGGCTGATAATGTTGCTGCTGCTACATCCACATGAGAGCATGTCATAGTATGTCATGTTGATTTGTGAGGGTTTTTTTTGTATTCATGAGCAACAACAAACTGATGTGCTTGATTTGTGTTTCCTGCTTTTCGCTACAAGGTCAGGTGTGTGTTTGGACAAAAAAGAGCAGCGACTGAACAAACAGCATCAAACCCCAGAGACTATGAGCCAGAGTCGTCCTACTGCAGCTCACACAGCAGAATAAAACAAGAGTTCAGCAATGGTAGACAACTCAAGTGCCTGTAGGGACAACTGTAAAAAGACATTTTACAGTTGTATAGTGTCTCATCCAATGGGAATGAAAGGTTTCATCCTTTTTAAGGGAGGAGAACTGTGGTTTCACTACCTGCAGCTAAGAAAATGATCATTTCTTTGATTTTATAAATGGAGTTGTATTCTTGTTGCCCTGGTCTGCTTGTTGGCTACATTCAGTGTGGATGTTTGATTTCTGCTTTGGTATATACATAGACCTGCCACAACAAGCAATAAATAAATAAATCAATTAATCACATGTTAAATTAATATGAGCTCAATCATTTTCATTTGCAGGATTTATTTCTACTTTCTGCTCTCTCTCTTTCTACCAAAAACTGGATGACAAAAATTTTCAGTCCCTATTTTTTTTTTTTTTTTGAAGGACAGTTGTGTTTATAGAGGCTTCTTAATGCCTTTTCACAGCAGTGTGTGTGTCTGTGTGTGTGAGCAATGCTGCTGTAATATTCTCTGGCTTTCTAAAGGTGTGTGCCGGTCATATGCAGCATAGTCACGGGAGGCGAGCGAAACGTCTGGGAGGGCGAAACAGGAGAAGGAACAGGATTGATTCTGAGCTTTAAATAAACACTCGCGCCTCTCCTCCAGCTGAGTCCACCAGACACGGATCTGCCCCACATGTCACTCAAATCAGCTGCCTGCATGCACCGCCACAGACGGTTTGTGTGAGAGCAGCCCCGGTGGCCAGTTGGCCCAACAGAAACAAGAGTGACGCCACCCAACATAAATCAGCGCCTCATTTCCTCTCCAAACTCCAGATTTGGATCGAGCAAGAGAATTAATAATTGGTGCTGACAAGCAGCCGTGTTTTCTCCTTGAAGTGGCTTGTCTTTCCTTCTTGTGGGTTAAAGTGTCAGAGAGGGAAAAAAGAAAAAAAAAAACCATTGCACTGCAGCCTGTTTTCTTTTTCATGGGAGAGTGGTTTGCGCTCTCTCTGCTTGACAAGCTTTGTGAGAAGCAGTGGAGGTGAGAATGCACACAGACACAGAGGGACCTCCTCATCCTGAAACACAAAGCATCTCTCTGTCTCCCACTTTAATTTAATAAAGGCAGGGTGGATGGGGTGGATGTTCCAGGGCCTCCGTCCCTTGGTGGAACTTGGAGAGAGCAAGGCTCAGCCATTTTATTGTACAACTTTTATTGGTAGACCTAAGTTGCAACATTTGTTAAATTTTCAGCTGGTGCAGTTTAATTTCACACTGCACTGCGTTAAACATACTAAATCTTTTGAGAAACCTGTTCCCCTCCTTGCCTGTGGAGGTGCTGTGCCACGGACCACTGAAGGAAACAACACCAAAAGCTCTGAAGAAGACACTGGGCGCAGCTTCCTTCTTCACAAAATGACAACTAAAATGGAGTGGCGTCAGATTGTAGCGGTTGCAGAATTTCTCTGCTGGCGAGAAATGGCATGATATTGCGAGACATTTTTCGTGCTAGCACGTTTATTTTGATTGTATTTACCCAGAATTCCCTGTACACTTCCTGCTTTTGGAGCTATCTGCAGTCCGCTTGGCATTCACATATAAGAAATAAACATGTGTATATCCTGTAAAATGTCCATTAGTGTAGCTTCACACAGAATATGGCTGAATATTTCCTGCTAAAAAAGGCTACAATATTCAGTGCTTTTAGTATTACATGTCTAACACAACACAAATAAACATATTTATCTCCCCATCAACAAAGAAGTACAAATGCTGATGTGTATACAAGGTAGCTCAGAGGGCGAACAAACACAAGTTATGGTTATTTCAGCCAATTTGTCAAGAGAAAACATGGAGAAAAACATAAATTACGAGCCTGCATGGTTGTTTGAAAGTTCCCTCTCCCTTCCTTCTCTCCCCATATATCTGGACGCAATTTGCATGCTATCTTTCCTTTCCATTTTCCACGCCTGAATAGCTGATCTGTTGCAGCCAGCATATCTATTAGCGAGCTGCTGGTGGCTCTGCCGTTTCTCCTCTGACACAGAGATTAACATTTAGCTGCACTGCTACCGCGTTACTTCCTCCAGCAAGCACCTCAACACATTAATGTTATCTCGAAAAAAAATGTCTCCCGTCTTCTGACGATCTCCACTGCAGAGGGAAAGTCAAATATTTCAGTTTTATTAGGCTTTTGCCTCTGATGAAAATATTTTGAAAGTAAAATATTTTTGTAGAACTCTGTTTCCGTTGATGTTACTTATGGTGGTGTGGATTGTCTGTCATCTTGGACATGACAATCCTTAGTGCTGTTAATACAAATCAACTAAACTCCAGCTACACTATCTGGGCCACTAAGATCACTACTTTAGCCTGTATTCTTGTTTTTGACCTCAAACTCTGTGAATCCAGCTGTAGATACTCGTGAAGCTAGCAGCTAAGATCGGTCATCCAGGTGACGAGGCGGTCAGTCTTCTTCCATCAGGATTTTGTGGTGCGTTTCTCATCACAAATTAAAGAGACAAAGTGATGAAGACTATCGTTACCCATTGACCAATACAGCAATTAATAATCTAGGCTAAAGATGTGATGGATGTCATTGTTTTTTTATTTTGACTGGCTCCATAGCAACCTTTCTGGATTCTCATGCACAGACTAACAAATTTAAGAGCTTAAATTATTTGTCAGCACAACAAAATGTGAAATGCCACAGAGCCCAACAGATCCTTCTTGAGGCAAAACGAGTTATGGCAAGTCCATTTAACTGCAGATTATATTTGCCAGAAGTTATTAGCATCTCTTCCTTCCTCATTCATAGAAGTTTACAGTTTCATTAAATAGAAAAAAAAAATAAAGGAAAATGAGAAGGCCAAGGATACCACCAGTTTGGGTTCAGAATTAGTCATAGAAAACTAGTTTAGAGCAGTGAATTTGAAGTCTGTCCCTTATGAAGCTAGCCTGGTAAGAACAAACTCCTTGTTGTACGTTTGGCTGTGAAGTGAGGTTCTGGGTCCTCGGCTATTGAGAAACGATTTCTTGCGTCCCTGTCAGACGGACAGTTTCCCACACCACAAAAAAAGAAGAAGAAAAAAAAAACTCATAAAAATGCACACAACCTTGCTGGACAGAAAAAAACAAACAAAAAAAAACTTGGGTCTAAATAACCCCGTCTTAAGATTGTGCAAGGGTTAATTGCCACCTCGTCCTTCATGAAAAATGACAATGCAGAGGTACAGAAACTTAGAATGACATTTACAGCAGCTCTCTCAATAAACTTTCTCCTTTTAAGCCCTCAATCCTGTGAGAAGTCATATCTGCCTTAAAAGACCAACACATTGCTATTTTATCAAGGTTTGTGTGGAAAGATCCCCAGTGAGACCCTCCATGACTGTCATTAACTCCGTTTGATTTGGTAAAAATTTGGCTTGAGACCCGAAACTTGACTGACAAAAAATGAATCCATTGATTGCAGGATCACGTCTGTTTATCTGTCATTTTTAACACGAAGACCACAAAGGGAAAAAAAAGAGAGAATCAAGTAATCCTCAGAGCAGCTTCTTCTAAATAAAGTTTAAAACATGTAACAAGGCATCAAAACAAAGTGCTTGAGAGCAACTTCCTCTATCCAAGAAGAAGTTACAGACTCTACCCCTACAGATCACTGCCAGGAATGAGGACTGTTAATGGGATTTATTTTATTAACTCCAGTGAAATATACAACTGTGATTTAGCTTGAAATTAAGACCAAATAAATTGATTGGGACCAAATAAAACAGTCCTGACTGGGACATCTCTAAACACTCTCTGGAACTCCATTACATTTTAAACTGAGGCAGCCATGTTGATTCAGAATTCTGACTTAATAAGTCAAAGGTTTCTCACTGCACTCAGCTTCAAAATTCAACATGGCTGCTTCATATTGGAATGTAATGGGAGCTTCAAATTACACCAACCACAGTGTATAATATGCATTTGTGAACATGTCAAAGTGTTTGAATGTATAAAATGTTGAATATTTTATAAGCTTGCATGAATTAGCTTAAACAGATGTCAAACCATAAGTGTGATTAAAATGTAGAAAAAGTAATACAAAACAATTATGACAAAGAGTAAGGATGAATGTTTCCTCTCTGAAATAATCTGAGTGCTTTGTTTATGTATGCACTCCGTTCAATTTTGAGTGAATTGTTTTTAGTCTGTCTGCACAATTACAAGCTAACATAAAATGCGAAAAAGAAAATTTCCCACAATGTGATATACTGATGACTACAGCATTTCCAACTGAATCTAGGGTTGTTTTAAAATAAAAACAATTTTTTCCCCCCACTTTTCATCAACTGTTTTCTCAAAAAGAACCACATTTTCCTCAGAGGCATACCTGGTCTCAGGTAACCCTGTCTACCAGTCTGCCAAGTAACATATTTTTCACCGACACATCCATCTTTTCTCTGAGTAATACCTTGATCCTCTGCAGCGTCCTCCACCGCTCCTTTAAAGTGCTCTCTGGATTTAGCACTATAACACTTCAACTGGAGGTCATCCAAGTCGGCCCCAGTGGCTCCTTGTTGGAAAGCATCAAATTGTCTCAGACATTCTAAGGAGTTAATGTATTATAATAATAATAATAATAATAATAATAATAATACATTTTATTTCAAAGGCGCCTTTCTGGCACTCAAGGACACCGTACAAAGAGCGGTCACTTTCCGCTTGACTGTACAATATTTGAAGAGTGGATAAAGGCTGGGAAGGGAGCTCAGCAGTCTAAATATCCAGCATGTCTAATTCACATCAGGCTTTAAACTAAATAGGTCACCAGCTTTTTGTTTGCAGAAATAGAAATACATTTTTTATGGCCAAAATAATGGAGCTAAAGCATTATATACAAAACTTGATTAAGTATATATTTCCAGTCAATAATGTTTATAAACATTAGCAGATATAAAATAAAAAAAATACTGAACTGACATGACGAAATGAAAGGAAAATAAGTGTTGTTTGTGACCTGGTGTCTAGGTGTCTATCACCCACTGTGACACGCTTTATCACAGGGCAGAAAATTACAAAAATATTTCACGAATCCAAACCTTGTGATTACTGCCTTTTTATTCGGGAACCCTGAAGGCAACACTTTGTAAAACAGGGTTTTGTCTTTTAGAGTTATATCTCAGCCAGGTTTGTTCATCAAGTCAATCAATATTTTTCTCCATTCTTCTTTGCAGAATGTCTCAACTGTCACCATGTCATGACAGTATGTTATGAGACAGATAATCTGTGAAAAGACTAATCTTCGTCACCTGCTCCCTGAGCTGATATTGCCGTATGAAGAAATGCATCACTCCAGACCAAAAACAACCAATCAGAGCCAGACAGAGGGTCTTAGCGCTGTTAATGAAGGTACCAATGACAGAGAAACAACCATCACAGGAAAACTGTTTATCCGTTAAATACAGTTACTATGCACAGTTCAGATCACATTTCTTTCAGTAAGTGGTGTCCTAAAGATGACCGTTTCTAATGGGAATGTTTTTCAATAACTGTGTTTGCATCAATATAAGTACAGTCAACGCCATACAGTTACCTAAGTCAAAAATATTGTTTTTATTGTCAGTTTTATCGTTATCATAACAGTACCACAAAATATTGCGATAAAATTCTAAGTCATGTTGCCCAGCCTTAGTGGAAAGTAGAGTTTAATAAATGCAGGCAGCAGCAACAAAGGTCAACCCCAAGCAAATAGAATATTTACACATTTTGGTAGTTTTATGAATCAACTCACTGGTGACCTCATGCAGCCTTGTTTTTGTTTTTAGAATATTGGTTTGTTTTATTAGACTTGTGTAAACTGCCATCTCCAACTCCTGCCCTGACTCTTCCAGCACAGGAGACGAGGAGCAGTGGGAAAAGCAATGCGTCACCTCTTATCATGGTCCAAATATAGAAATTTAATCTGCGAGGGGTTTCAAGCCAGAGAAAGGAAAAAGAGCAGGGTGCTGGGAGCTCCCCAGGCAGATCTTGTTGTGTAAAATGCAGTTTTTTTCCCCTCCATGTATGCCTTCCTTTGGCTTCTGCTGTCTTTCTTTCTCTATCTGTCTAGTGATTGGCTCTGCAGTTATTCCATATTTCTTTCTGTAATGTCAAGATTGTAACAGCAAAGTAGAGAGGTGACAAAAACTGAAACCATGTGTATTCCTCCATCCTGTCTTAAAGAGCAAATTGACAGAGTTTAAAATATAGTTGTTGGATTTTCATGAATTCTACATAAGAACTGGATTGGACTGCAGTGCTTTGTGAAACACAGACCAATGAACTACATGACAGCGAAGTATTATAAAAACTAAAGCTAAGTGAAGCTAGTCTCCTGTTTGCTTAATCTAATCCACTTAACACATTAATTTCAACTTATTAATAACATTAATTTTCATGTGTAAAATATGAAATTTGCTCTAGTTAATTCAAATAATCGCATTTTTGTTCAGAGTGGAACCTTTTGTATTCACATGTTTTTGGTATGCTCATAAATCTGATGCACAAGGGATTTCCGCAAACTGTAGTGATGGAGGACAAGGCTGCTTCTCTCTACGTTTTGCTTTAAAGTCGATCTGATTGGACGCTGGGAAAGGCCATTGTTCTGTTCAAGTTTTGCTAAAAAGAGCTAGCCTATCAGCAAAGCTTTTCAAGCCTAATATAGCATCTGAATTTTTGAATTGAAAATGTTACTTTTCTTGATGTATAATTTGATTAAAATGCAATTAATTGCAATTAATTAATTACAGATGCTGCAATAAACTTGATTAAAAAATTTAAACCAGTCCCACCTCTAATGATAACAAAAAGTAAAGTTATTTGCTTTAAAGTTACTTATATGCCACCCCAGTAGATCCGCCCCTGCTGAGCAGAAGACTTCATCTGTTTTTTAATTTCTTTATATCAGGCAAGACATGTGGCATTCAGTCCTACTTCAGGTTGTTGTGTGTTTTAAAGGAGTTTTCTAGTAACATAGGTCAGACACTAGTCTGTCTTGAAATTGAACTCAGCCGTTCAAACGTGGTTCTTTACAGTTAATTTGTGATTTAACGAGGAGGAGACAGCCTGGTATTCCCTACAGGATAGGTCCAGCAGGTTTCCTGATGGTCCCACAGCCTGGAGCCATATGCAGCTCTGACTTCAGCCTCCTTCCTCACACATGCACAAAAGGCGTTCAACTCATTAATAAACATTAATAATCAGCACCCGATAAGATGGTATCTTCCAGATTTCTGTCAGTGATGGTGTAAGCTGGTACTCTAAGCGCTGAGTCTTGATAACTAAATTTGGCTGAATTCAACAGTTGGGAAAATGACAATATTATTTATAAAGGATTTTAGTGGGGATAGAAAATGTGATATGGATGGATGTTATATTTTTGCCATTTCATTGACCTCAGCTTCATTTGTGTTTGACAAATATAATGTATGACAATGTGGAACCTGTTGTGTGTGCTTGAATGTTTTAAGGGTTTACAAACCTGTAGACTCTGGTAACCCAAAGATTAGTGGAAAAAAAGGCAAACCCTAACACACGGCAGGTATTCATATTGCGTTTCCCTTGTAGTTTTATGAAATACACTAATATCAAAACCACCTCATCCAAGCGCAAAATCTTTTTATCGAGAAAAGTTTTTAACATTTTTTTTTTGTTTCCATTAATCTAATTTATTTTTGTATTTCCAATTTGCGCAATTTAACAGAAAACCCCAAAACAGTGGAAATGTGTGTACTTATTTTTCAGTCTGTATTTAGCGTTAAACTGTGTGGTACGATGCGGAACTGTGGATGTTTTTGGTAAACAAATTCAACAACTTGACTGACGAAACAGCTGAATCTGACTGTTTTACAATCTGACTGTTTTACTGTTTTTATGTCCGGGAATGAGAAGAGTGACTGCCTAGTGAGGGCAGAAAATATACAAAGGATTTTCTGAACACTTTCAGCATTTTTAATTGATTATTCTCAAATAAACTTGGAAATAAAAGCAGCATAGGCTGAGGTGACCGACTGTTTTCTGGTTGTTCTTCTTTTGGTAGGTGTTTGGATCAAACCCAGCCGAACATCCAGGATGCGGGAAAAGAGGGCGGACTTTGTGGCAGGATGCCTTGGAGGAAGAGTCATCGTAGCTGGTGGTCTGGGTCAGTAGCTCTATGTTTATCTCCTAATTTTTCTGTTTCCTGGCAAAATAAAGATATTCTATCATTATCCTTGTAGCCAAAGCAGATTTGGTTCTCATCACTGAAACCCACTGAAAACCAGTCATCCACAGTCTATGACTGATCCCTCTAACTCAATGGAACCTTGTTTCTATTAGTTTATTCATTAATGGTGGTTCAAGTTCTGTTTTTCTGGACATAAATCTCATTTCCTTCAGCTGCTCTCTGACAGCTTGTTCACAAAAATCAGCTTCTGTTTCTGTCCGTTTATCATTTCTCTTGTTGCCATGACATTTGTGCCCAAATCCTGTGGATAGACAAAACATGAATTGCTGTTTTAGTTGCACAGATCACAAAAAAGCATTTTTGCTCTATAGAGGTAGGATGTTTTCACACCTGGTAAACTCGGTTTGACTGGGGATCAAAATTGCAACATTTGTTGCAATTTTGATCCCCAGTCAAAATGTTCCATTTTCAGTTGGTGCAGTTCACTTTCACACTGCACTAAACCAACCAAACCCTGTGGAGCAAAATGTTGACCTCCTCACCTGCAGTGGCGTTGTACCAAGAAGCACTAATGGAAATGACACAAAAACCTCTGAAGAAGACATTCAATGCAACTTCCTTCTTCACGAAAGGTGAAGAAAGATGATGTGGTGTCAGAGTTTAGCAGTTGTAGTGTTGATGTGAATGCACCCTGAGATATAACTAAGTAGCATTTACCTATATGTATGTGCAACATTCAGATATTAATGCTTTCATGCATTCATAAATATATATTTGCAGTTTACATATTCACAGGCAAGCGAACATCAATTTTTGTCACTGCATTTCCATTTACTGTATAACTGCAAATTTGAATTCTGAAAATAAATTTGCTGAATATAAACACATCAATTTAGAAAAAAGTTAACGTTTTCCATAAAAAGTGTTGGAACTTGGTAGTTTTAACGCCTTCGCGGAATTGGTTCACAAAACTGCCCTGAAAAGATTTTTGCATCACACAAGTCACGTGATCAATAACCGGATGTTGCTGAAGAAAATGATGACAGGAAGTGGTAGAAAGATGATTTTACAGAATTGCAGAATTTGATTTTTTTGACATAAACTGAATATCTCCTAACTTTTGCACACATTTGAAATGGAAATGCAGCTACTGTTATATGAAGATATCGACCTTAATCATGAACTCGAATCATTCAGATTGCCAAACAACTTCTGATATGTCTAATGCGTGCCCTTTCGCGACACTGTGTTAATTTACCTTCTTTCTTTTCTGTTGATGTTTTTTTCATGGACACAGAGCAACTTCAACATTTTTTTCCTGTCTTATCTACAAACAGCCCTTTGATTTTCAACAGAGGTCATTTGTGTGTGTGTGTGTGTGCTTGCGTGTGCGTGTGTGTGTGTGTGTGTGTGTGTGGTTATTCTGATGGGATATTTTGGGATTGTGAGACATAAAACATGTTTTTACCATAAAAAAAATTTAAAGGAAAATTACATCCCCAACACCTTTCACAGTAATATTTGTCATAATAAAAGCATTAGTACAAAACGTAATGGACTTTAAACACTGTAGGAGGTAAAAAAAACCCCAATAAAAACATTTATTAATCATTTATCACATTCACTATATAACACATTCAGTATAACTTAATGCTAATTAGTCAAAACTAATTCTCACCATTGTTGTAGGAAGCTGCTGTCTAATCGCTGGAGCTCAATCATTAACAGTTTGTCAATCATTAACAGGCGTGCAGAGAAATGTTGAAAGCTAAAATAATTTTATTACACTTGTTTTCATAACCAGATACTTCTATTTAATAATGATCTAAAACATGGTTGATTCAAGGTCTTTTCCCACCGTGCTCAACATGTTGGAAGAGTCTGAAGAAAATGTTCTTGTCTGAAGTTTCAGGTAGAGTTTCTTCCACCTTAACCCTTGTGTGTGTGAGGACTGAGGCAACTGATACAAGTGATATGGGTGTACCCAATCAATGTATACATAATCATAATACAACACTTAACTTTTTAAATTATGCACCTAAAAATTGATCAAAGTATGAAAAACCTAACTACTATGACTGTGAGGATTTAGGTTTTTGTGTCTTTATTGGTTAATTTATTCCGTGTCTTGTCTGGCTCTTAGCTGGAACCAGTTGTCTCCTGTTCCCTCATCGGTCCCTTGTGTATTTAACCCCCCCACTGGATCCTTGTCTTTGTCAAGTCATTGTTCCCCTTCCTGAGTCTGTGTTCATGTCTCGTTGCTCACTTGTGTTTCCTTGTTTTGAGAACCTTGAGGACTACAATAAACTCTTTTCTCCATTCCACCCTGGGCCTCACCGCGCCCAACCTCACCATGAATAAACCACTTCATGACAACGACTAATAAAAACTAATCTAAAGCTAAATGATATTTAGCTAATAATGACTCATAAAAACTAGTAAACGCACTCTGAAAACTAACTAAAACTAACTGAATTAGGGAAACAAAAAGTCAGAATGAAAAAAAAAAAAAAAAAAAAACATTTTTTTTCTGCTTTGGGGGATTCTGCGGCTGGCAAAAGTTGGATTGTTCATCTGGG